TCTCCCCCCCAGTCAGTAATCCCTCTCCCATTACCCTCAGTCAGTAATCCCACTCCCATTACCCTCAGTCAGCAATCCCTCTCCACCCCACCCTCAGTCAGTAATCCCTCTCCCATTACCCTCAGTTAGTAATCCCTCTCCCATTACCCTCAGTCAGTAATCCCACTCCCATTACCCTCAGTCAGCAATCCCTCTCCACCCCACCCTCAGTCAGTAATCCCTCTCCACCTTCAGTCCCAGCCAATCCCTCTCCCCTGCACCCTCAGTCAGCAATCCCTCTCCCCCCCACCCTCCAGTCAGTAATCCCTCTCCCCACCCCCTCAATCAGTCTCTCCCCAGCCTCAGTCAGCAATCCCTCCACCCACCTCCAGTGGCTTGTCTCTCCCACCCCCCCCCCCCTCCAGTCCAACCAATCCCCTCTCCCCCCCACCCTCAGTCAGTAATCCCACTCTCCTACCCCCCTCAGTCAGCAATCCCTCTCACACCCCCTCAGTCAGCAATCCCTCTCCCACCACCCTCAGTCAGCAATCCCTCTCCCATTACCCTCGGTCAGCAATCCCTCTCCCCCAACCTCAGTCAGTAATCCCTCTCCCATTACCTTCAGTCAGCAATCCCTCTCCACCCACCCTCAGTCAGCAATATCTCTCCCACCCCCCTCAGTCAGCAATCCCTCTCACACCCCCTCAGTCAGCAATCCCTCTCCCACCACCCTCAGTCAGCAATCCCACTCCCCCACCCCACTCAGTCAGCAATCTCTCTCCCCCCCACCCTCAGTCAGTAATCCCTCTCCCACCACCCTCAGTCAGCAATCCCTCTCCCCACCCCACTCAGTCAGTAGTCCCTCCACCCTCAGTCCAGCAATCCCTCTCCCCCCCACCCTCAGTCCATTAATCCCTCTCCCACCCCCCCCCCTCAGTCCCAACCAATCCCTCTCCCCCGACCCTCAGTCAGCAATCTCTCTCCCCCCCCCCACCCTCAATCAGCAATCCTCTCCCATTACCACTCAGTCCATAATCCCTCTCCCCATTACCCTCAGTCAGTAATCCCTCTCCCATTACCTTCAGTCAATAATCCCTCTCCCCACACCTCAGTCAGCAATCCCTCTCCCATTACCCCCTCAGTCAGCAATC